CAAATTGGACTGCACACTATCTGGCCCAATATTCTACAGATCAGCTCCGGCAATTTCACAGGCCCAAAGAATTACCTTTTCAGGCCCGACATGCTTATTATGGTGATTTATTTGGAATTCCCTCCATTAGATATTTTTAATGTTGTGTATTTTTTCTCTGGTTTTATTTATTTTATTGTCTGTTTAATTTTGGGTCTAGCCCCCACAAATTTCTTTTGATTACTTCTTTTGTATTTTCAGAGGTATGCCTCTGAGAGAGGTATTGGTTTGGTCCCCCTCTCTTTTGTTTTATTTTATTTCTTATGTTAATAAAACTCGGCAAATGCTGCCCGGCATTTGCCCCACCGGTGGGTGGTTCCCTTTAAAAAAAAAAAAAAAAAAAAAAAAAAAGCCTATTTTGAACAAAGGCAAAAGAAAAGCAACAAGAAGCAAGAAAGATAAAGAGCAGTCAGAATGTGAGAGTGAAAGCAACTCTGAAGATGTTCAGGTTTCATATTTCCATGACAGTATAATTGGGAAAATGAATGTGCAGCAAAAGAAGATAGATAAAATGATGAAATAGTTTGAGGGTATCAATGATACCGTAAAGAAACATGATAAGATGTTTGAATAGATATTGAATTTGTTGTTGAAGAAAGGATATGAGGTGAAAGACACTGGCAAAAGAGTGAACGGGAAGAGGATAGTCCAAGAAGTTGTACTTGATTCAAATACAGATTCAGATGATGACACTACAGAGGATGAGGTTTATGCGTCTGAAGATGATGAATCTGATCAAGCAAAGAAGAGAGTCAAAACAGTTAATGCTGAAGAAGAAGTCATTGGATCTAAACATTCAGAGGATTCTGAGGAGAATGAATCTGGTGAAGAAGACAATGCAGAAGAGTCTGAAGAAGAAGAAGATTCTAAGGGAGAAGATGATGAAGATGAGGGTGAAGAAGAGGATGATAACAATGAGAAGAGTAAGGAAGATGATGATAATGAAGACAGTGCTAATGAATCAAATGAAAGTGCTGGTAATACTGAATAAGATTCTGAGAAGGAGAAGGATGAAACTTTGGTTATGGAAGGGGAACAAAATGAAGAGAAGGGGAAACAAGAAGGAACTGCTTAGGAAGAACAAAATGCTGAAATTGTTTTTGAAAAAGAAAATGCTAAAGGCCAGAGTCTCCAAAGTTGTGATATACCAAGTTTTGAACTGCACTTGACTCCGACCCCACCTGAGAAGCAAATGTCAGAGAATGACATTGTAATCACTCCATTGTTGGGGGAAACTCAGTTTGAAGTTGAAGATCTATTGAAGGTTGATCAATTAATGGATGAAATCATCAACAACAAGGTAATGACACAAATAATTGAAAAGATTTCTTATAGAATAACTATTTCATAACATGATTGCTTATTTGTAATTTTGATTGCAGGGAAAGGTTAGTCATACTTCTGGAGAAGAAAAGGAAAGCAGAAGTAACACTGAAAGAGCAATAGTGGTAAACTGTATATGATAATATAAAATTCAGAAAAATGTCATAAAAATGTTATTGCATGACATACAATGCATGTACAATGACATTTTAAAATGACATTGCAAATGTTACCATTGGCAATGACATTTCAAACGGTACAACATTGGAAATGGAATTTACACTAGCATTGCCATTGTTAATGACATTAGAAACTAAATTTGTAATGAATTTGGAAATGCAGATTTATTCAGAAAAATACTTGTTCAGGAGACACTGGCAAAGTTTAAAAGGCCAAAAAGGAATGCTACTCAACCTGACAAATTTACTTCTACAGAAACTGTGCAACAAAGAAAGAAACGAAAGGTGGAGAGGCTAGAAAAGAAAATGTTGAAATTGAGAATGCTTCCAAGAAAGTCATTATACGGGCCATTCCCTCTTGAGCCGTTTCAGATGCCACCTACTGCTGAATTGGAGAAAGCAAAGGTTTATTTGAATCTTGGTTTGCTGAAAAGAAGGAAGAAATTTGAGGATGCTAGGAAGTACAAAAAGGATTTTGACAATCTGGAGAAATTCCCGTTTATGCTTGATGACTTTGAGATAAAGTCAAAAACATGGCTATATGAACTGTTTTTCAATCCAGAATGGCTCACTGATTCTGTAAGTAGTGCTTTAGTATATTAAATTACACAAATTGGTCCTCTTTATATTTTGATTAAATAACTCTATAAATTGCAGCATATGGAAGTGTGCATGTACTACTTATTCTTGTATATAGCATCCAATGCTATAGTAGTAGGATCACAGTGTGTATAAACCTTAATATTCTTATGAACAATAGTACCAAAACAGTTGTCATTCATATCAAAAGAATTAGAATGTGGCAAAATAGAATCAACTACAGAAGAAGAAGGGAGACTGCTGGAATCAAAAGATATGCTATTAAAAGAATCAACTGTAGAAGAAGAGGGAAGACTGCCGGAATCAAAAGAGGGAAGTTCATTTGCAATGAACTCAACACAAATTGGGAATTGTGAAAAATCTGGATGTATGGATTTTATTTGTAGATAGAAAGAAAGGCTTATATCATCATCTATAAAAACAGGTGGAGGACATGATTGAACAAGATAAGATATTTTAAAATCTTTTTGGCCACCTCCCTTGAAAATGTAATCTTTCAATTTCTCACAGAAATCAGTGTAAGACAATCCAAACAAAACAGAAAAACCAACAGTGTGTATTACAAAACACATTGTCAGAATTCCATTTGCCATCAACTTTAACCATTAAAAGAATACTAGTATCCATGTATGTGACACCTGAAAATATAACAATGACATCACTTTCAGAACAATGACATAAAAAATAACCAATGTCACAACACAGAACATCAAGTATTCAAAGTATGAACTATATTTTATATTTTTTAAACAATGTTACAACACAGAACATAAACACTGTTAGCAATGACCTATATTTTGTAAACAATGTCACAATACAGAACATCAAGTGAAACGTATATACTGACTCACGTAAATACAATCAAAAATATCAAAATATAACCAAAACAGAATGAAAACGTTTTTTTTTACCCCAGGGGGCGTCAGGGGGAGGGGGATTTGGGGGGCCTAGGGTAAACTGGGTTCAATCTCACTCCATTGAGAATTGAACCCGAGACCTCCCGTAAGAGAGAGTGAGTCGGCAACCAGCTGGGCTGGACCGCTTACTCTAATACACTGATCATACAATTTAAGAACGTAAAAATTAAATACATTTACCTAGCATCAAAGACGATTATCGAACTCCTCAAACGATGATTGTCGAAAATTGGATGTATCGAACCAAAAAACCTCGATTTCCGCACAGGACTGATAAAAATCGATGCAGGTGAAAATCTATAGCAATTAGATGTTGATCGATTCACATGAAAATCGAAGATAGAAGATGATGCAGAGATGAAACAGAATTCTGGTGAAGGTGAACATAGCTGAATACGATGTAATAGGCCGAAGCTGAAGGTGAAGGTGAAGGAAAGATGTAACCGGAAAACTAAGGACTCGACGAACTAAGGATGAAGGAGAAGGAAGAAAATAACGGGAAACCCTAGGCAAGGCGTGAGTCTAATTAAGAAAAAGGGGCAATTATGGAAACAACGGAAAATTAATTCCTATTTAGGAGTAAAAAAAGTGCAGGTCCTATTTAAATACATAGGGAAAGTTATGGTCCTATTTAGCACCATTTCCCTATATTCAATTGCATGGCTGTACAGAATCAATGGAATATAGAATTCCTATTATTTGACCGGCTCACTTTATTTTCTTCCCATTTTTATAATTCATAATTAGTTAATCCAACAGCTTGCGAGCTTTTTGAGGTGAGTTGTATACTATTCTCCGTTTTTTTAATCGCAACATGTTGAATTTTACACTATTCACATGTTCTACTTTGACTACATTTTACGGTATTATTTTATGAAAATTATTTTTTTAAAAAAATATTGTTCAATTCATCTCATTACAAACTTTCAAAATCTGATTTTTAATTATTTTTTACTACTCCCTCCTTCCCATAATTATCTTCATTCTTTCCTTTTTGGTCCGTCCCAAATTTATCTCCTCTTTCCTTTTTTAGCAAAGGATTTGTGGTTCACAATCATTCTTACACATTTCTCTCTCCTCTGCACAACTCTCCATCACACATTTCCCACTTTCTTAATCTCCGTGCCCAGTCAAAACCGAAGTTAATTCTGGGACGGAGGGAGTAATAGAGATTAAGATATAATTTCGGTCAAAGACATCGTTGGCAAGTGTGTGAAATGTTGACCGTTGCAACTAAAAAAGAAAGGGGGAAGTATAACTTAACTAGATTCAGGTTCGAATACAAATCAAGTTTGAATGAATTCAAATTAGATAGAAGTAAAATCTAATCCATCTGGAATATCATACGCAATATTAATTAGAGGCAGTTTGGCAACACAGTTTTTCAACTTATCAGGCTTATCAGTCAACTTTTTCACCAAACACATAACTTTTGTTTTCGCGTGCTGAATTGTGTAATAAGCAGAAAAAGTAAGTTTGGAGTTACTTTTCTGGATGTATTGGCTGAAGTTACTGTAGATGGCCATTTTAGCTATTTTTACATATAATTTTTTCTTCATTTTATTAATAAAATATATTTTAAATTTTTTTCCTTAAATCAGCAGAATCAGTCAATGCAGCCACTTCAGTTAGAACTTCATAAATTTCAACAGAATCAGCCAAAACCGACGATTTTCATGCTAACAAACGGGCTCTTAACTTGTTTGATTAGCAAAGTTATGGTGAATGGAATTTAATTACTCCGTATTAAAACCACACGTAGCAAGACTTTAAGAGTGCCGACTTCTCTTACCGCTAGCAGGAAAAAACTTTGGGGTTGGGTTTTCCTGGTTCCCACTTCAATTCCCATTTGCTATGGTCACCCATTCGTTGACTTCTAGTCTCTGGAATTTTAGTGTATGGAGGATGAACCATTTTGGCTTCTCCCTATCCTGTTGTTTGGTCTATATATACCCTTCTGGTAACAATCGATTTCTGGTGTCCGAACCCACTTCTGATCCAAACCAAATTAAGCAAGCCAGCTTTTTAATTATGGCAAACAATCCAATTATGCATCCCATTTTTACCGTCTCCCTTCCCTTCTTCATCTTCTTCCTCCTCACTTTCCGGGCTACCGGCGAAGAACAAATCTTCGGAAAGCAGATAGACCGGGAATCACTTGGACTGAAGATCGAAAAAGCCAGCCATTTCCGCTGGTATTGGCACGACGTCCTTAGCGGGACGAAGCCGACGTCGATCGAAATCATCCCGGCGGCTAATAGCTCGTCATCGTCGATGACGGGCTTCGGAGGGACAAACATAATCGACAATCCGCTAACCGTTGGGCCGAATCTGAGCTCTAAGTGCGTGGGAAGAGCGCAGGGATTTTATGCTTCGGCGGGTCAGACAGATCTTGGGCTCTTGATGGTCATGAATCTGGCGTTCATTGAAGGCAAGTACAACGGCAGCACCCTCACGGTGGTCGGCCGGAACCCGGTGTTTCTTAAGGTCCGGGAGATGCCTATCGTCGGCGGCAGTGGGCTTTTCCGGTTGGCTCGCGGCTACGTCCAGGCCAGGACTTACTGGTTTGATATCAAAACTGGCGATGCCACCGTCCAATATGATGCTTACGTCTTGCATTATTGAGCCAATCTACTCACTCTTTCACCCATCATGTTGTCTTGCATTATTGAGCCAATCTACTCACTCTTTCACCCATCATGTTTGTGAAGTGTTTTGTTTGTCTTTCAACCTGATTCAAAGACAATATTTTGTTTGTGCAAAATATTTTGCTTGTGCAAAATATTGTCTGTGAACCGGGATTCATAGACAAGAACAAAACACATTCACAAACATAGGTAGGTACAAAAGTGAGTATAAAAATGGGTACAAGCAAACATCATTTTTGTTATTGAGCCTTCCTGTTTTTGTTTTTCTGTTTTGACCCTTACTTATTTAAAATAAAATATGTTGGCCGGTATTTATTCCCTATTAAAATAAAATATGTTGGCCGGTATTTATTCCCTATTATTTAGTATTTCCTCGTGTGTTCCTTAATCATCTGTAATGGTTGGGAGGCAAAAATGTTAAAAATGGATTCCGTCCATAGGATAAAACTGTCTAGACCGTAGACCTTTATTTTCCTTGCATTTTAGCACTGTCTATATAATATATGGAGTACTTAACATACTCTTTTACTTATCGATTTAGTAAAACATTAATTTAGTTATAATTGATCCTATCAAATTTACTTGCATATTCAATTATATCAAGGGCCTAATGCATCAAATGTATATATCAAGAACAATTTTGGCAATCTGAAGCTTTAATGTTATGAATAATTTTAGTTTATCATGGAGATTATCCTTGTTTATTCTTTTTTTCAAAATAAAAAGCTTATAATAGACACTAAGAACACGCAGACCAATTTCAAGACATAAACCCGTATCCAGTCATAAAGGCTTATGGGCATGTTTGGCAATCAGCGGTTAGCGGTTGGCAGTTAGCGGATTGCTAACGGCGGATTGTGTTAGCGGATTTGACCAGTGGATTCATTTAGCGGATTGTAAAAAGATGTTTGGTAAAGCAGCTGTTTGATCCTAGCGATAAATAGATAAAAAGTCATATAAGGACATTAACAAATATTTATTAGTTTCTTTAATCATCGAAATGATCAAATCCTTATGATTTAACGGACATTCATATTATTGTGATCATCTATACGAACTTACTGGAAAAGGACATTCATATACGAATTCAAACCACAATTATACTTCGTATATTCGTTGTAGTTTTTAAGTTTTAACCTATAATTTTCTCACTCAAAGCAGAGTACACGGTCGATTAAAAGCACACCAGTACAAATCAAAATGATATCTAGGCCAACGACCCAAGAGAGGGCAAATTACACCGTACAGTCGGCTGTACCGTGCACACGGTACAGCCGGCCTTTTTTTGGATTTCTGTCGCTTCGCACATCGCACCCTTCTGCACATCGACCGCCGGAATTTCCAGCAAGGCTCAAGAGTTCCGCGTTGCTCTCCCGTTATTTGCTCTGCTTTTTGTTTTTTCATTTTTCTTTTCTTTCAAAGTTTAGCTGCCGCAGGTCGATGCTATGTGGGGACATCTCTATCTACTAGACACTTGACAGCTTTTGAGTTAACCCTTTTAGCTTTTGGTGGATTTTCGGATTTTGGATTTTGCTTGAATACTTAATTTCATTTGATGTATTGATGCTTCTTTATGTTATTATTATTAAGAATACATGAGCACATACAAACATATATTTGAGGACATTATATATATCAAATGAGTTTTTGAATTTTCGATACTCATTTTGTAAATTATGTATGCTCATTTGATCTCAAATGAGTTTTATATTAAACACAAATGAGTATATGAATAAAAGAAATGCACATATACAATTGAATATTAAGCACATTAAAAATGAGTTTTATATTAAACCCAGATGAGTATACGCCTCAAAGATATGAACATACAACTGAATATTAAACACATTAAAAATGTGTTTTTATGTTAAACTTAAATGAGTATAACATTCAAAATCAATGAGCATACACAAATGAGTTTTTGACTTTTTTTATACTCATGTTGTAAATTATGTATGCTCATTTGATATTACTTTATGCTCATTTTAAAATGATGCAGATGTCAAATATAACGCTCAAAATCAATGAGCATACACAAATGAAGTTTTGAATTTTTTGATACTTATTTTGTAAATTATGTATACTCATTTGGTACTGGTACTCATTGTTGGGCTCCTAATACTCAGAAGAATAGACTCGATGCTCATCCAAATTACGCTATTGCTCATTTAAGAGAAGCCATGAACTTCTTTAAAATTACAAAAATGCCACCGGTTGTACGGTGCCAACCGTACAGCCGGCTGTATGGTATACGCTTCCCCCAAGAGTGTTCGAGTTCTACAGGAGTAAAAATCAGCCACCAAAAGGCAAAAGCACGACGCACCGTACATGTGTTTTCCATAAGAAATCAGCCAAAACGCTAGGGAAAAAATTCTTACAGGGAACATTCAACCGATGCTTTAAGAAAAGTTAGTTAATCCAGCTTGCGAGCTTTTCGAGGTGAGTTGTATATAACTTAACTAGATTCATGTTGGAATACAAATCAAGTTTGAATGAATTCAAATTAGATAGAAGTAAAATCTAATCCATCTGGAATATCATACGGAGTATTAAGGCTATGTTTGGCAAGCCACATAAGCTCAAAATGGGCTAAAATATTTTATATTCAGTCAATTATTTTGATAATAATCTTGTTTGGCAAAGGAGCTTAAGTGGACTGAATCTGAAATAATTGGACTGAAACCACGCGCTTCTCGGTCTAGAGTTTCTGTTCAGTTTAGTGTATAATTAACATACTTACCCATATTATCCTTTATCTTGTCTCTTTCATTCGCCGATCATCTTCAATTCTTCACAGCTTTATCAATTTTGAAGAATTCCCCTGAATTTGGAAGATGGGGAACGACTGTTCAATCATCCCATTGATGAGCCTCGTGTTGATTTATTGCTACCCATTTTAACCGATTGGGTTCCTCTACCGCACGGCAGAGTACCTTGCCGAAGGGGAGCCGTCCGATGAGGAAGAGGAAGTTTCGAGATGCGCACCCGGAGATCTCTAGCCGTTGAAGCTGATTTGATCGGTCGGCTCAAAATGGCCGGGCACCGTGCCTTGCTCTAAAGCAAGGCAGACACTCCTGGTCCCATTTTAACCAAGAGGTGATCTTCATCATATCCCAAATTTGGGTCGGTGTTTTTAATTTGTAACTATAACTATAATTAATAATTACGAGTATCATTTCTTCAAAAAAAAAATTACGGGTATCATTGTATAATAAATAAAGACCAGCTTTCTATTTGAATGAAGATATATTTCTTCATTCAAAAAGCATACGTAATGTATACGCACAATAGAATACATATATATAAATATGTATACTAAAATCCTACGAAGTAGGGACTAGGGAGTAATATTTATTTAAATATAAAATCATTATAATAAATATGTTGTTCCATTTGAATATTTATATGCCCTTTAGTGTAATTTCATATCATCCGATCACTTTTTCAGCTCTCTTTGCCAAATGGGTTACTTCATTCAGCTAATTCAGGTTTAGCACTTCAAAATCCAGCTTCAGATAATAGTATGTGATCCAGACAATAGTTCTTAATTCAGACATTAGCCTCCAGTTCCAGCTTGTTGCGTCAAACATAGCCTAATTAGAAGCAATTTGGCAACACAGTTTTTCAACTTATTAGGCTTATCAGTCAACTTTTTCACCAAACACGTAACTTTTGCTTTCGCGTGCTGAATTGTGTAATAAGCAGAAAAAGTAAGGTTGGAGTTACTTTTCTGGTTGTATTGACTAAAGTTACTGTAGATGACCATTTTAGCTATTTTTACATATAATTTTTTCTTTATTTTATTAATAAAATATATTTTAATTTTTTTTTTCTGAATCAGCAGAATAAGCCAATGCAGCCACTTCAGTTAGAACTTCATTAATGCCAAAACAGACGATTTTCATGCTAAGAAACGCGTTCTTAACTTGTTTGATTAGCAAAGTTATGGTGAATGGAATTTAATTACTCCGTATTAAAATCACACGTAGCAAGACTTTAAGAGTGCCGACTTCTCTTACCGCTAGCAGGATGAGCCATTTGCTATGGTCACCCAAAGTCTATTTCCATTCGTTGACTTCTAGTCTCTGGAATTTTAGTGTATGGAGGATGAACCATTTTGGCTTCTCCCTATCCTGTTGTTTGGTCTATATATACCCTTCTGGTAACAATCCATTTCTGGTGTCCGTACCCACTTCTGATCCAAACCAAATTAAGCAAGCCAGCTTTTTAATTATGGCAAACAATCCAATTATGCATCCCATTTTTACCGTCTCCCTTCCCTTCTTCATCTTCTTCCTCCTCACTTTCCCGGCTACCGGAGAAGAACAAATCATCGGAAAGCAGATAGACCGGGAATCGCTTGGACTGAAGATCGAAAAAGCCAGCCATTTCCGCTGGTATTGGCACGACGTCCTTAGCGGGACGAAGCCGACGTCGATCGAAATCATCCCGGCGGCTAATAGCTCGTCATCGTCGATGACGGGCTTCGGAGGGACAAACATAATCGACAATCCGCTAACCGTTGGGGCGAATCTGAGCTCTAAGTGCGTGGGAAGAGCGCAGGGATTTTATGCTTCGGCGGGTCAGACAGATCTTGGGCTCTTGATGGTCATGAATCTGGCGTTCATTGAAGGCAAGTACAACGGCAGCACCCTCACGGTGGTCGGCCGGAACCCGGTGTTTCTTAAGGTCCGGGAGATGCCTATCGTCGGCGGCAGTGGGCTTTTCCGGTTGGCTCGCGGCTACGTCCAGGCCAGGACTTACTGGTTTGATATCAAAACTGGCGATGCCACCGTCCAATATGATGCTTACGTCTTGCATTATTGAGCCAATCTACTCACTCTTTCACCCATCATGTTGTCTTGCATTATTGAGCCAATCTACTCACTCTTTCACCCATCATGTTTGTGAAGTGTTTTGTTTGTCTTTCAACCTGATTCAAAGACAATATTTTGTTTGTGCAAAATATTTTGCTTGTGCAAAATATTGTCTGTGAACCGGGATTCATAGACAAGAACAAAACACATTCACAAACATAGGTAGGTACAAAAGTGAGTATAAAAATGGGTACAAGCAAACATCATTTTTGTTATTGAGCCTTCCTGTTTTTGTTTTTCTGTTTTGACCCTTACTTATTTAAAATAAAATATGTTGGCCGGTATTTATTCCCTATTAAAATAAAATATGTTGGCCGGTATTTATTCCCTATTATTTAGTATTTCCTCGTGTGTTCCTTAATCATCTGTAATGGTTGGGAGGCAAAAATGTTAAAAATGGATTCCGTCCATAGGATAAAACTGTCTAGACCGTAGACCTTTATTTTCCTTGCATTTTAGCACTGTCTATATAATATATGGAGTACTTAACATACTCTTTTACTTATCGATTTAGTAAAACATTAATTTAGTTATAATTGATCCTATCAAATTTACTTGCATATTCAATTATATCAAGGGCCTAATGCATCAAATGTATATATCAAGAACAATTTTGGCAATCTGAAGCTTTAATGTTATGAATAATTTTAGTTTATGATGGAGATTATCCTTGTTTATTCTTTTTTTCAAAATAAAAAGCTTATAATAGACACTAAGAACACGCAGACCAATTTCAAGACATAAACCCGTATCCAGTCATAAAGGCTTATGGGCATGTTTGGCAATCAGCGGTTAGCGGTTGGCAGTTAGCGGATTGCTAACGGCGGATTGTGTTAGCGGATTTGACCAGTGGATTCATTTAGCGGATTGTAAAAAGATGTTTGGTAAAGCAGATGTTTGATCCTAGCGATAAATAGATAAAAAGTCATATAAGGACATTAACAAATATTTATTAGTTTCTTTAATCATCGAAATGATCGAATCCTTATGATTTAACGGACATTCATATTATTGTGATCATCTATACGAACTTACTGGAAAAGGACATTCATATACGAATTCAAACCACAATTATACTTCGTATATTCGTTGTAGTTTTAAGTTTTAACCTATAATTTTCTCACTCAAAGCAGAGTACACGGTCGATTAAAAGCACACCAGTACAAATCAAAATGATATCTAGGCCAACGACCCAAGAGAGGGCAAATTACACCGTACAGTCGGCTGTACCGTGCGCACGGTACAGCCGGCCTTTTTTTTGGATTTCTGTCGCTTCGCACATCGCACCCTTCTGCACATCGACCGCCGGAATTTCCAGCAAGGCTCAAGAGTTCCGCGTTGCTCTCCCGTTATTTGCTCTGCTTTTTGTTTTTTCATTTTTCTTTTCTTTCAAAGTTTAGCTGCCGCAGGTCGATGCTATGTGGGGACATCTCTATCTTCTAGACACTTGACAGCTTTTGAGTTAACCCTTTTAGCTTTTGGTGGATTTTCGGATTTTGGATTTTGCTTGAATACTTAATTTCATTTGATGTATTGATGCTTCTTTATGTTATTATTATTAAGAATACATGAGCACATACAAACATATATTTGAGGACATTATATATTTCAAATGAGTTTTTGAATTTTCGATACTCATTTTGTAAATTATGTATGCTCATTTGATCTCAAATGAGTTTTATATTAAACACAAATGAGTATATGAATAAAAGAAATGCACATATACAATTGAATATTAAGCACATTAAAAATGAGTTTTATATTAAACCCAGATGAGTATACGCCTCAAAGATATGAACATACAACTGAATATTAAACACATTAAAAATGTGTTTTTATGTTAAACTTAAATGAGTATAACATTCAAAATCAATGAGCATACACAAATGAGTTTTTGACTTTTTTGATACTCATGTTGTAAATTATGTATGCTCATTTGATATTACTTTATGCTCATTTTAAAATGATGCAGATGTCAAATATAACGCTCAAAATCAATGAGCATACACAAATGAAGTTTTGAATTTTTTGATACTTATTTTGTAAATTATGTATACTCATTTGGTACTGGTACTCATTGTTGGGCTCCTAATACTCAGAAGAATAGACTCGATGCTCATCCAAATTACGCTATTGCTCATTTAAGAGAAGCCATGAACTTCTTTAAAATTACAAAAATGCCACCGGTTGTACGGTGCCAACCGTACAGCCGGCTGTATGGTATACGCTTCCCCCAAGAGTGTTCGAGTTCTACAGGAGTAAAAATCAGCCACCAAAAGGCAAAAGCACGACGCACCGTACATGTGTTTTCCATAAGAAATCAGCCAAAACGCTAGGGAAAAAATTCTTACAGGGAACATTCAACCGATGCTTTAAGAAAAGTTAGTTAATCCAGCTTGCGAGCTTTTCGAGGTGAGTTGTATATAACTTAACTAGATTCATGTTGGAATACAAATCAAGTTTGAATGAATTCAAATTAGATAGAAGTAAAATCTAATCCATCTGGAATATCATACGGAGTATTAAGGCTATGTTTGGCAAGCCACATAAGCTCAAAATGGGCTAAAATATTTTATATTCAGTCAATTATTTTGATAATAATCTTGTTTGGCAAAGGAGCTTAAGTGGACTGAATCTGAAATAATTGGACTGAAACCACGCGCTTCTCGGTCTAGAGTTTCTGTTCAGTTTAGTGTATAATTAACATACTTACCCATATTATCCTTTATCTTGTCTCTTTCATTCGCCGATCATCTTCAATTCTTCACAGCTTTATCAATTTTGAAGAATTCCCCTGAATTTGGAAGATGGGGAACGACTGTTCAATCATCCCATTGATGAGCCTCGTGTTGATTTATTGCTACCCATTTTAACCGATTGGGTTCCTCTACCGCACGGCAGAGTACCTTGCCGAAGGGGAGCCGTCCGATGAGGAAGAGGAAGTTTCGAGATGCGCACCCGGAGATCTCTAGCCGTTGAAGCTGATTTGATCGGTCGGCTCAAAATGGCCGGGCACCGTGCCTTGCTCTAAAGCAAGGCAGACACTCCTGGTCCCATTTTAACCAAGAGGTGATCTTCATCATATCCCAAATTTGGGTCGGTGTTTTTAATTTGTAACTATAACTATAATTAATAATTACGAGTATCATTTCTTCAAAAAAAATTACGAGTATCATTGTATAATAAATAAAGACCAGCTTTCTATTTGAATGAAGATATATTTCTTCATTCAAAAAGCATACGTAATGTATACGCACAATAGAATACATATATATAAATATGTATACTAAAATCCTACGAAGTAGGGACTAGGGAGTAATATTTATTTAAATATAAAATCATTATAATAAATTTGTTGTTCCATTTGAATAATTATATGCCCTTTAGTGTAATTTCATATCATCCGATCACTTTTTCAGCTCTCTTTGCCAAATGGGTTACTTCATTCAGCTAATTCAGGTTTAGCACTTCAAAATCCAGCTTCAGATAATAGTATGTGATCCAGACAATAGTTCCTAATTCAGACATTAACCTCCAGTTCCAGCTTGTTGCGCCAAACATAGCCTAATTAGAAGCAATTTGGCAACATAGTTTTTCAACTTATTAGGCTTATCAGTCAACTTTTTCACCAAACACGTAATTTTTGCTTTCGCGTGCTGAATTGTGTAATAAGCAGAAAAAGTAAGGTTGGAGTTACTTTTCTGGTTGTATTGACTAAAGTTACTGTAGATGACCATTTTAGCTATTTTTACATATAATTTTTTCTTTATTTTATTAATAAAATATATTTTAATTTTTTTTTTCTGAATCAGCAGAATAAGCCAATGCATCCACTTCAGTTAGAACTTCATTAATGCCAAAACAGACGATTTTCATGCTAAGAAACGCGTTCTTAACTTGTTTGATTAGCAAAGTTATGGTGAATGGAATTTAATTACTCCGTATTAAAATCACACGTAGCAAGACTTTAAGAGTGCCGACTTCTCTTACCGCTAGCAGGATGAGCCATTTGCTATGGTCACCCAAAGTCTATTTCCATTCGTTGACTTCTAGTCTCTGGAATTTTAGTGTATGGAGGATGAACCATTTTGGCTTCTCCCTATCCTGTTGTTTGGTCTATATATACCCTTCTGGTAACAATCCATTTCTGGTGTCCGAACCCACTTCTGATCCAAACCAAATTAAGCAAGCCAGCTTTTTAATTATGGCAAACAATCCAATTATGCATCCCATTTTTACCGTCTCCCTTCCCTTCTTCATCTTCTTCCTCCTCACTTTCCGGGCTACCGGAGAAGAACAAATCTTCGGAAAGCAGATAGACCGGGAATCACTTGGACTGAAGATCGAAAAAGCCAGCCATTTCCGCTGGTATTGGCACGACGTCCTTAGCGGGACGAAGCCGACGTCGATCGAAATCATCCCGGCGGCTAATAGCTCGTCGTCGTCGATGACGGGCTTCGGGGGGACAAACATAATCGACAACCCGCTTACGGTCGGGCCGGATCTGGGCTCTAAGTGCGTGGGAAGAGCGCAGGGGATTTATGCTTCGGCGGGTCAGGCAGATCTCGGGCTTTTGATGGTTATGAATCTGGCTTTCATTGAAGGCAAGTACAACGGCAGCACCCTCACGGTGGTCGGCCGGAACCCGGCGTTTTACAAGGTCCGGGAGCTGCCCATCGTCGGCGGCAGTGGGCTTTTCCGGTTCGCTCGCGGCTACGTTGAGGCCAGGACTCACTGGGTTAATATCACAAGTGGCGATGCCACCGTCCGATATGATGCTTACGTCTTGCATTATTGAGCATTTGAGCCTGCGGGGCTTTTGTTTTTGTGTTTTGACCTTCACTTAATTATTACTGTGTATTTCTTAAAATAAAATTATGTTGGTCGGAATTTTCTCCCTACTTTGTCAAATTTATAATAATTAAAAGTTGTGTGATTGAATTTTGTGCGGAGAAAAGAAAAATTACATGAACCACAAATTTATTTATATAAATGAAAAGTTATAAACGTTTTGAGATAACTTAAAAAACAAAGATAACAAGGTACGAATGCAGTATAACTTTATCAAAATTTACGAGTAAGTGAATAATAAATAAAAATGGTTTGATTAAGGTTTGTGAGTGGGAGAACAAGTTAACATGAACATAAATTATTTAGTAGAAATGGAATTGATTAAAATCTTGATATATTTTCGTCATTTTATAAAATTATTCCTACTAACCATTTGTTTAACTATTTGATTGTAAAACAGTGTTTGGTTAAATGATTGTTTATAATCAGTTGGTAACTTAATAAATAACTTTTAAGGACATCAACTAATTTTATATTATACTACGTACTACTTAAACATTTTTAATAATCTAAAAAAATAAAAAATGTATAGTAATAATAATTTTAAACATTATATGTCACGAGTTAATAAATTTGATTAACACGATGATACTTTGATTAACAATGGAGTTATAAGTAAAAATATACCAACAAAACTTGTGTAAGAATATGAAAAATAAATTTAAATATTAATGTCACCACAAACAAGGACATGAAATGTTTTTGGTTTATTTAACTATTATAGTTTTCTAACATTTTACTTTTCAACGTAAATGCAGTCATCTTCTAGGTGTTTCCTAGCCCGTTCTTTTGGCCGATAGTTATCCTGTCCGGCAATCTGTTTTGGCGGTCAAGCCGAATTCTTGGTTTAGACGAAGCTGGTGCTCGGAAATTGATGATTCTCGGTGATCAGGTCAAGTGATTCTTCTAGTGCTTTTCCGAATGAATATCTAAGTTGGAATTGTAGAGGGTTGGGTAATTCGGCAACCAACCAAGGGTTGTCGGATATTATCCAACAGCATCGGCCAACGATTCTATTCCTTATGGAGACCAAGTGAGCAAT